AACTATTTTTTCATTTCCTGATATTCTGAGGTTAAGCTGTATGAATTTAATTTACATTATACAGTTAAAATTTATTATTATAAAAATAAAATTTATTATTCACTTGAAGTGAACTATAGTTATTAAATTTTTCTAATAATAAACACTGTAAAATTAGCTTGTTATAACCATAAGCTAAGTTTAAAATAAGGAAACTATTTGATGACTTTGATGTTTTGCACCCAAAATGTGCTGGCTAATTTTTCCATTCCATTTACCATTTCGGTCTTTAAACTGCCTTAATCTCCTGCCCTCAGATGTTGACCTTGTAAGAATAGGGGTCATAGGTCAGAATAGACAGACCTCAAAGGATCTGGACTATCAATTCATGCCTGAGAGATTTCTCTGCCACAATAGGAACCTACTAAACAGCAAATTCCTAAATCTAATCACACGAGTATCAGGGTGAAACAGTTATTTATTGGAATTTGTTGATTTACATTTTTCAGGGATCTCTAGCGCCCAAATAGCATTTTAATTTTTCTTTTGGAAACAGGTTCTGGAATACAGTAAACATGAAAACAAAATTACTGAAAGAACTTTTAAAGTAAAACAGATATTCCTTATTAAACAACATCAAGTCTAAGTACAGGTTTAATATTTTCAGGAATGCTATGAAGATTTCAAAAACATACAGTCCTAGATTTCCCAAGTCTAAAATAACTAGAAAACTTCAAATTACAACAGTGAGATAATGAGTGGAAAACACTGCTGCAGAGGTGGGGGTGGGGAACAGGATTACCACTATTTAATTTCAAGCTCACTTGCTCTAAATGTGAATGAAAGCACTATGTAAATATTTTTCATTGTAACAAAATATATAGCCTCCAATAAGGAAAGCCTAAGTAGATTAAAAAAAAAAAAAAAAACCAAAAAGCTCATATAAAGCTCATATATTCCAAAATCTTCTGGAAAATTTAAAGAATTTGAACCCATAAAATTATGGTCTTGTAAAAATAACTTTACTATCACACATCTCCACTTTCTTAAAAAAAAAAAAACCTCCCAGGCAAGTTAGCTGTTCTGGGGCGAGACTAAATCGGACCTCATATAATCAGTTTCTGTTTCTGTTCACCCTGGCCATTCTGGCCACAAATGGTGAGAATATAATAACATACCATTTAACATTGAACTACCAGGAACATCAAGTAACAATCACTTCTATAAAGAGCATCTTTAAAATGATAAGTAAATAAGCCTTTCTACCTAATAGAGTCAAAAAGAAGAAATTTCTTACACTTCCACACCAAACATCTTAACAATCAACTTCTTTCTAAACAAAATACATTACCATTTTACCTTGTATAGAAAATTAAAAAGCTTACTCGTGTACTAATGCAGTTATGCAAACTAAATATTGCACCAAACAAATGAAGACTGTAGAACATTGGCAATTTTTGCTAAGTTATTAAAAAAAATCTCAAGTCAACACCATTGAGAAGAGAACTTGCATTATTAAGAATAGCACTTCTTAGAGTATGTGGTTGGGTCAAAAGAAGCAGAAAGGTTAAGGAGAACAAAGACCACAGTCATTATCCTAGAGGGAAAAAACAGAATTTAAAAGGAGGTAGAAACAGAAACCAAAAATAAAACAATAAAAAGCCACAGTTAGATGTATATACCTAACATACACATCTACTACATCTGCATGCATTTTAAATGTTCTTAAAAGTTGCACATACTTTATTCACTATTAAGGATTAAAATAATTTAATATGAGTAGATTTTCAAACCAATTGTTTCACTCCAAGTCCTTTCACTCATTCAAAATATGCTAATACAAACTAAAATTTTATTATATAAAATATTTAATTGTATGTTATATGCTGACATGACTTCATATAAATACTAAACTTTAACAATAGCAAACAAAAGCATCATTTTACCATCCTCCCCTACAATTTGTTAAGAAATTATTTCTTTTTCCTCAAGGAAATTTTTTTAAGAGAAAAGGTACCAAAGGTAGGCTAGTTTTTTATAAGAAACAAAGGTTTCCTAGTCTTTTCCTAGTCTTTATGATATTATAAAATATTTTAAGATCTTATTCTTTTGAAAACAAACACAAGAAAAACAAGTGGAAAAAGTAAATGTAAAATTATCATATTTGAAATTTTAAGAAAACTTTTAAGTGGAAGATTTAAAATAAAACATATCATCTACTATTTTGGAGTAACTAAACACTAGCAACTGGAAAATTTTAAATGGAAATTTTAAAGTTTTTATGAAATGGAATTAAAACATTTATCAAATTTAGAATTTGATTCCATCACTCAAAAGAACTTATTTGTTTGGTTCTGATATTTTTATATCACAATAAATTAGGCAGAATTTTAAGACAGTTAAAAAAAATTCCACTTTCTCTCAAAAGTACTGTACTCATAATTTAGGCACAATTTTCAAAATTATTTTATATTTTTTGTCACAAAGACATAATTCTTCACAAAATATGGTTCTACCTTACATAAAAACGGTCAGAATTAAATTCTCCTGAGTGATGGAATAATACTCTGAATTTGTTAAACATATTAATTCCACTTAGTAAAAATTTTAAAGTTTCCATTTTAAATCTGAAATGACAAATTAAACTTTCTAACCTAAAATCATTGGAGAAAAAATACTCTTTTCAACAAACGGTGTTTGATCTATTCATATTATTCACAGGAAAAAATTAATCTTGATCTAAACCTTACACTTTATACAAAAACTAGTAAATCTAAATGGATCACTGATATATAAGCAAAATGTAAAATTTGAAAACTACTAGAGAAAACAAGGAAGAAAATCATTATGAAGTCAACCAAAGAATTCTTAAACTTGACAGCAGATAAAACATTACATCAAATAAAAGATTGATGAACTGCCTTCATCAAAATTTTAAAAATTCTGCTCTGTAAGAGGTATTAAAGAGGGTGGAAAGTCAAGCCACAGAATGGAGGAAATTTTCAAATAATTTATCTTGGGAAACTCTCACTGTGCAAAAATAAGAAAACAAGAAACTCAGTAAAACATGGGCAAAGACACAGACATTTCACCAGAGAATATAAAGATGACATAAAAATACATAAAAATATAGTCAATGTTAGTAGTTATTAGGGAAATGAAAAACTATGATAGTGCTGGCAGAGTGGCTCAAGTGATTAGAAAGTGGACAGAGTGCTTATGTAGCAAGAGTGAGGCCTTGAATTCAAACGCCAGTGCAGCAAAAAAAAAAAAAAAGAAAGAAGAAAAATTATGATAACCTCTTAGAATGGTTAAAATTAAGGACTGGAGGTGTGATGCAAGTGGTACAACACCTGCCTAGTAAGTGCAAAAGGCCTTGAGTTCAAACTCCAGTAACAGTAAACAAACAAACTAATAAATAAAGTGACAACACTATATTGACCAAGATGACTAGCTGGCGGAACTCTCATATATTGCTGGTAGGAATGCAAAATAATACAATCTCTCTGGAAAACAATTTGACAGTTTCTTAACAAAGTTAAACATATACCCATGCCTACATTATCCAGCAGTCCTACTCCAAAAATGAAAACAAATGTTCACACAAAAACCTATACACAATCTTTGTAGCTGCTCTGTTCATGATGCTACAGCTAGAAAATGTTCTTCAACAGATAACGGGCCATCTCCACATAATGTATTACATATACGGCAGTTTTAAAAAAAAGAATGAACTACTGATACACTCAACATCGTAGATTAATTTCAACATTCTGCTAAGTAAAAAATCCAATTTCAAAAGGTTATGCAGTGTATAATTCCATTCATATGCCTTTCACAAAAAGACAAAACTAAAATGAGAAATGAGGCTATTGGTTGCCAGCCAGGGGTTATAGTAAGGGGTAGGTAACCATAAAAGATAGTAAGAGCTGGTTTTCAGGTGGTGATAAACTGTTCTGAATACAAATTATACTGGTGACTACAGGTATGTACACATGCATTAAAATTCATAGAACTGTGCACCAAAAGAAGAAAGGGTTGGCTGGGTGCTGGAGGTTCACGTCTGTAATTCTAGCTACTCAGGAGGCAGAGATCAGGAGGATCTCAGTTTGAAACCAGTTCAGGCAAATAGTGCACAAGATCCTATCTCAAAAGAAACCACTACCTTCATTTATGTACCTACCTGTGTCCATGCCTATAAAGTGCTTTGTACCAGTTTTGACGAGTGAGCCATCTATACTAACTATTGGCTCTTTTGGTTGTGCTTTAAATCTCAATCTTTACATCCATTCAAAAAAAAATCACTCCAGCAACTGTCCTCCTCTCTCCTGAATGTTAAATCTTTCCTTTTATTATACTACTCCCCATCAATAAATACATAAATATGCTATAATTTCCACCCCTGAGCTGTTTCACATATTAATAAGAAAATTTCCCCAAAACCTGTCTACATCCTGTCTTTGCTTCCTTTCCTTTCACTCTGTTGATCACAACTCACACAGGCTTTTATTCCCACCAGTCCACTGAACCTATTCTAGTCAGGTTCTCTAAAGATTTCTATGTTGCTAAGTGGTTCAAGTTTCAGTGGTCATCTTGATTGTTTTACCCTCAGCACTTACTGAATGTCCCTGATACCTTCTCCTTCTTGAAGTTCTTTTTTTGTCGTCTAAAACAAAATTGTCTGATGTTTTTTTCCTATTTCCCTCTTTGTTCCCTTTGCTGTTCCTCTTCCTCTATGCTGGAATGCCCCAGGGTTCAGGCCTCTTTTCTGTGTCTACTTGCTCTGATTATGATTAGTATTATAGCTTTCAGTCTCTTTTCACCCTCAAATATTGCTGAATTTTTATCTCTAGCCCTAAAACTCCATTATCATGCCTCCAATCTACCAAATCTACTTGGATGTTCACTATGGACCTCTAAGCATGCCCCAAAACACTCTATGGACTTACTGCTCCTTCTGCAGTCTTCCCCATCTTAGTAAACAATCCCTCCATCTTTCCTGGTACCCAAGCCAAACAAACCTTGGAGTCATCCTGGACTCTTCTTCTCTCACAGTCCACATCTGATCCATCAGTAAATCCTGCCGTCTCCACCTTCAAAACATATGGGAATTTTCGCTCACCACTTCCATATCTACCACCCCAATCCAAACCACCACCATTTCTTTCTTGTAGTACTGTTTGTAAAGCTTTCTTTAGTGATCTCTCAGCTTCCATCCTTGCCTCTCCAAATTCTGGAATACTCACAGTTTCCAGAATGGCACTGTAAAAAGTGGTGTGGTGTGGCTTGGAAATGTCCCCCAAAAGTTCATGTGTTGAGGGCTTGGCCCCTAATGCAGAAGTGTTCAGAGTTGGGCCCTTGGGAGGTGACTGAATCATGAAGGCTCTAATATAATCAATGGATTAATCCACTGATGAATTCATAGCTTCACGGGCTATTGGGAGGTGGAGGAAACTTTAGGTGGTAAGGTCTAGTTGGAGGAAGTAGGTCACCAGGGATGTGCCCTTGAAGGGTATATTTTGACCCATCCACCCCTCCTTCCCAAAAGCCATGAGGTGAACAGCTTTGCTGTACCATACACACTCCCTTCCATGATGTTCTGCCTCACCACAAGCACAGCGACAATGAAACAAAGAAACTATGACTGAAACCTCTGAAACTGTGAGCCAAAATAAACCTTTTGTCCTTTAACTTTATTGTTCGCAGGGATTTTATCACAGTAATGGAAACATGATCAACACAAGAAGGTAAATCAAATTTTGTTACTTTTTAGTATCTTACCATTTTCTCCAGAATCAAGGTTCTTACAATGGTTGACAAAATCCTGTATGAAGGAATGCCCTTCTCTCTCATGATTCAACTCTCGGCCTCCACCATTCTCCTTCTTACTGATTTCAAACCAAACAAAACATAAAACACTCTAGAACTATACTGTTAAATATCTAATCTAAAATGGGGAAATAAAAGATTATTTTATTTTACTTTACTTTACTCGTATATATGTATGTATGCATAAATTATTATTATCTCTCTGGGAGCAGACAATCACCTTAATGGCTAAATTCATCATTAAACTTTCACACATTTTTATGGACTTCCTTTTGCACAAAAAATTCCTAAAAATGTGGATAAAAACAGAATTTATTCTCTTACTAGATAACTTTGTCAAATCAGTGGGAAAGTAGACAATAAATGCTGTAGTGGTAACAAGGTGTCAGTCTGGAAAGAAAACTAGATCCTTACAGATCTTTCTTTAAAAATAAACTACAATGGGAAGACATAAAAAGCTAAATTAACTAAATGATATAAGAAAATACAGATGAACAGAATATGTATTTTTTTCTTTGTTTTGATACTGGGGATTGAATATAGGGCCTTGCATGTGCTAAACATATGCTCTACCACTGAACTATACACACGGCCCTAATATTTCTTTTGAGATGGTGTCTTGATATATATACCAGACCAGCCTCAAATTCACAATCCTCCTGCCTAGTCTTTACAGTGTATTTACTACTGTGTAGGTTGGTAAGCCAAATAGTAATCAAAGTCAAATAACATTATGGAAAGAGTCACAAATTAATTTTTTTAAAGATTCTAAGCTTCAATTATATTTTTAAAACCACTATCATTAAAGCTAAAATGTATTTCATAAGTTGAAAAAAAAAGAAATGTTTTATTTGTTCCATATGTTTTAAGGCAAAAGTTACACACCTTAAATATACAAAGTATAAATCAACAACAACAAATAAACATCTCAATAAAAGATAAAAGGTCAAAGAACCAGAACTGTGCAATTTGTATAAGGAAAAAATGAAAATGAATACTAAGATTCAAAAATATATTCAACCTGTAATGTAATCAAAAGATAAAAAGAAAAAAAATGAGCTGCATCTCTTAAGCTATGTAACTGGAAAAATATTAAACAAGATAAAATTCAATGAGCTGTCTTGTTTTTGGAGTGATTATATTTAGTCCCTAATTGTTCTGGACAGCAATTCAGAAACAGGTATCAAAATTTTTAAGGTGCTTTTACTGGTCCAGAATTTTCACCAATAAGTATTTATCCTGAGGATACAATCAGATAACTTTTCAAAAATGTACACGTAAAATATTCAAAATATTAAAAATAGCCTAAATATCCATTAACACAGCATTTTTCATTTAAAGTAAATTTTGGCATATTCACGCAGTGGGAATTTTAAAGGCATTAACGAATGACATAAAATAGTATGTGATACATTAAATAAAAAAAACCTGCAAGTTTCAAAACAGCATATACTGCTTAGATTTTCTATATGAGGGTTATCTTTCCCAAACAGACAAAGCAATTAAGTAATTTTTATTTGAAATAAACAGATGGAATGCTGACAAATTTTGGATGTACAGAGTGGCAGCTCTGTCTTTGGGAACTTCAGCTCCTTATTCGTGGTCTCAAGAGCGGTCTGATGAAAATGGTGGCCAACAGACTATTCAGCAATTTAAGCTAAATGCCCCTCAGTACACTACAGATAATTCAAATTGCGATACAGACTATATTTTTGGCATATTCTATTTAACTACGGTAGTGGCATTTTCTTTTGGCTAGACTATATAAAATCCAGTAACATACAATAAAATATAAAGAAAGTTTTGAAGATCTTTGCCCAATACAATAAACTGAAAAATTAGTCAAGTAAAATGATTACCTATCTCCCTTTGGTTTTCGTTTTTGTAGTGTCTTCCCTTTGGGTCTTCTTTCACTTCCTAAACAGGGGCTTCCACCTGGTCCTGTTACCCGTATTGATTCAAGGCCTTTGGAAGATTTTTTAAATGTGAATTCCACTGGTTCTCCTTCTTTCAAGCTTCTAAATCCTTCCATGAATAGTTTACTCTGTAAAAGGTGAGGGAGCAAGAACAAAGGAAAGATCATGTTTATCACTGTTTTATAAATTATCCCTGTAATCTTAAGATTACAAGCAATCTTGTATTTTTACAGTAGTTTTTTTTTTCTTAATTCAGTGAAACATATCATTCTAATGTTTTCAATTGCAATGCTAGCAGATGGAGAATAAACTACTACCATTTTTTAAAAGTACTCTGTAATACTTACAAAAATTTAAATGTGCATATTCTTTGACCAGCATTCCCACCTTGAGAATTCTACTATGTATGAACAAACTCACAAAGTCTCACTAAAAAAAAAAGACACCACAGCACGGTCTGATAAAAAACACAACTACCCTAAATGCCCATTTAATCCCATTGAATAAATAATGATACAGCCAAATAATGTAACATTATTAATACATTAACTTTTTTTTTAGATCTATATACACTGGTGTAAAAAAGTACACATACTATTGTTGGGTAAAAAACTAAGGTTAAAGAATAGTGTATGCCATGTATATGAAGTTTTTAGAAGACATGTTGATTTCTGTAGAGATGGGATACAGAACAGGACACTCAACTCATGAAGAGTAATTTTTTCCAGTCCTGTTCTGAGAAGGTGGAGAATTTTACTTTACTGAACTTTTTGAGTTGTTTATGATACTTTTAATTTAAAAGACAGTTGATATTTGCAAAAAAAAAAAATTTTTTAAATTGTAACCTTGATTTCAAATACTCATTAACTCCTTCACTCCTATTTTTTTTAATATTTATTTATTTATTTATTGTTTTTCCATTTATACATACGTGTATACATTGTTTGGGCCACCTCTTCCTCCTGTCCCCCAACTCCCCTCCCCTTGTCCCCTTCCCCATCCCTGTCGCTTCTAGGCAGAATCTGTTCTGCCCTCTTATTCTCCAATTTTGCTGAAGAGAAAACAAAAGCGACAGTAAGAAAGACACAGCATTTTTGCTAGTCTGAGATAAAGATAGCTATACAGAGAGATTCCTAGCATTGCTTCCATGCACATGTGTATTACAACCCACATTGGTTCATCTCTACCAGACCTCTTCACTACTTCCTGGTCACCTTCCCATAGTGGCCTCTGCCAGTTTAAGATTACTATTATTTGCTCACCTACATTGGGCACATCAGCCACATTCAAGTTTTAGGTTTCCTTCCCTTTCCCTATTCCTCCCAGGTGTGTTCTCCCCTTAGTGTGGTGACCCATGTCCAATAATATTACCACATTTGTTTTAGGGCTATAATCACGTAATTCACTCTTATTTTTTTCACCACGGAAAATGTGTATTTTACATCTTTAATTTGGAATATCATGAAGTTGTAAAGACTTCTGAACTTGGGGGGCAAAATGAAGGAAGCACAATATGGTAAAAGACCTCAGTTCAAGTCCAGTTCTTTAAGTAAATAGCTATATAGCTGTAAGTCAACCATTTTACATCTTTCCTGTTCATCCATAAAATCAAATGATTTGCATACGCAGTAACGGTGGATCTGAAAGACTCCATGAAAACAGGTCAAATAAGTTTGTGAAATGCTGTATTTTGTTTTCCCTCGTGCAAGTCACATTAGCATGTTAGTATCAGAAATGTCATCTCCTGCCCTATGAACACTAGAATAAAAGTCTTGTTTAACGGTGTGTTTAACTCCACAACTTCCTGAATGAATTGATCCTAGAGCCCCTTCTTTACGAGGAAAGATGACTAGCGTACTTTAGGAAAAATACTGGATCAGAAAGTCTTCACTCTTCCCAAGTTTGTGATTCTAAAGGCATCTACTATGATCTGGATGTGGTTTGTTCCTCAAGGATTCATGGTCTCATGGCAGTAGGGTCTACTGGGAGATCTTTAGGTCAATTAGTCACCTGCTTTTGGAAGGCATGTGAGACTTTGGTGTCTCACTGGCTTCTTGTTTTGTAATGTGATCTCTTGCTCTCTCAGGTGTTGCTGCCATAATGCCATCTGCCACTGGTCCTTTACCAGAAGCTGAACGAATGTCCTCTCTACCTGATTTTGTACTTTGAACCTCCAGAGCTGTGATTAAATAAACTTCTTTTATTTATGGACTTCCTTTCAGTTACCTGAAGTCATCAGTGATCAGAAAATACTAAATGTAAAATTCCAGAAATAAACAATTCTAAGTTTTAAATTACATACCATTCTGAGTAGCATGATGAAATCTCAGACTAACCCACTCCACCACATATTCTGCCCAGGACAAGAATCATATCTTTATCCCACTCCTGCTCATTAGCAAGTAGCCATCTTGGTTATCAGATCAACTTGTGATATCACAGTGCTAATATTTCAATAACCCTTACTTTATAATAACTCCCAAAGGACAAGACTAGTGATGCCGACAAGTCACATAATGCAAAAAAGAAGCTGTAAAATAGTAAGTGCTTTTTCTAAGTGAGAGGGTAAAAGTTCTTGACTTAATAAAAGAAAAGAAAACAAAATCATATGCTGAGGCTGCTAAGATCTATGTAAGAATAAATCTTCTAACCATGAAACTATGAAGGTGGCAGAAAAAATCATGCTGGTTTTGCTGTGGAATCTCAACTGCAAAAGTTATAGCGACAGGTAATTAGTGAAGATGGAAAAGGAAGTGAATTTTTCAGGCATTTACAGGAAAAGACATAGTACACAAAGGATTGGCATATAGTATCTTCCCTTTGCCATCCTTGTTTTCAGGCATCCATTGGGGGTCTTGGAATGTATACCCACAGATAAAGGGGGACTTACAGTTAATTACATATAACCACTACTATGGAACAAATAAAAGTGGTAGTTCAAAATTCAGTGAAAAAGGAGACTACTCATTATAAAATTAACATGATACGTGAAAATAGTTATTAAGATTTCTAAGTGGAAATCATTTGACATAGTGGAATTCTTCATGCTAAGGTCTACAACAGCATTTTTTCTGTTGTCTGATAGTATGTTGGGTGGAAAAAGAATACCACCTGGCTACACCCCTTAAAATAACATCATAAATTAAAAGCTATTTTAATAATTCTAAAACATACCTTTTTTCTTCATTCTCTGCATTTTTATAAATAGTTCTTCTGTTTTCACTCTTTCTTTTCATTCATGAAAGTACAGATGATTTACTTCTTTTCTTTCCTTTTTTTGCAGTACTGAGGTTTGAACTCAGGGCCTTATGCTTACTAGGCGCTGGCCACATTATTTCTTTTAAATAAGATGAATTAGCCAGGCACAGGTGGCTCACACCTATAATCCTAGCTACTTCCGAGGCTTAGATCCAGAGGCTCAGAGCTTGAGGCCAGCCCAGGCAAATATTTTGTGAGATACCATCTCCAAAACAGTCAAAGCAAAATGAACTGGAGGTGTGGCTCAAGCAGTAAAGCACCTACTTTGTGAGCACAAAGCCTTGAGTTCAAACTCAAGTCTCACCAAAACAAATAAACAAACAAACTGGAACATAGCACAACTACTGAAACAAGAAACAGGTTTTTTTTGTTCTTGTTGTTTTGGTTTGGCAGTACTGGGGTTTTAACTTAGGGCCTCACTCTTGCTAGGCAGGAACTCTACCACTTGAGCCACTCCGCCAGCCCTATATTGTATTGAAAATTTTTGAGATAGGGTCTCTTGAACTATTTGCCCCATGTGGCTTTAAACCATGATCCTCCTGATCTCTGCCAACTGAGTAGCTAAGACTACAGGCATGAACCATCAGGTGCCCAGCTCAAGAACAATTTTAATTACAGCTATCAGATATTCCTATTTTTTTGTTTCTGTAACAAAAATTCAATCACTTATTTGTTGACTAATAGTTCCTAGTGTATGGGTGTACTTTCACCAACTTCATTTGATTTCATTTTCCATTATTAATATTTTTGATAGGTACCATTTGTAAGTGAACTACTCTTTCAAATCTAATGTAAAATTCTGGCCATACAGAACACTATATTCTGGCTATTATCCTGATATTATGAAGGAATATTTTCTTATTTCATTATACATGTTCTTCCTGCTCCCCAAATTAGTACATAAGGCAATTCAGACATATAATACTTGACAAAAAATAATGAGTATCTCTACAAAACTCTCTTTAAGATGAGGACAATAAGAGTCCTACAATCCTAACTGATGAGTGGCAGAGCTAGGACTCAAAGGTGCATCTTTTGACACAAAAAGCCCATGTAAGTCACCATGCCTAGTAACATTCTCTGGAATATTTCAGTCATTCCTCAACATAGTCATGATATTAAAGTTTCGAATCCTGAAGCTGTGGATTCCAGAAGACCTCTATACTCATCCCTTGCTTACCTTTTATCCCTTAAGTTTCTTACCTTTATCCATTTTTACCATAAAACTTCTTAGCTGATCAATCATAAGAAACTGATACTTTTATGGTGCATGTTTTATTTTATTGCTTTTCTTTGGAACTAAATAGTTAATAGACTAATGGCTAAATAAGCTTTAAAAATAAAATCTACACTTCTATCATATTTCAACTAAATGAATTATAATTTCCAGAAGCCTTACTATAAAAAATACATCTTAAGTAGTAGAATATTAAATTTATATACACTGTGTACAATTTAAGGGCATGTATTATAAATTTAGAGCAGTGTTCTCAACCAGATTTTCATTAAACCCTCGTCAAAGAGCCTTTTTTGGACTGGAGGTATGGCTCAAGTAGTAGAGTGCTTGCTTTGCAAAAGCAATGTTCTGAATTTAAACCCCAGTCTCATTAAAAAAAGAGCCTTTTTTCCTATTTGCCTCCCCACATGAAAATTTTCAAACCATAGATATACTGAGTATTTACTTATATATTTTGGCACTTAGAAGGACCACAAACCACTATAATTGCTATGATGTTTTTGCTCCCACAATAATCGCTTTTCACCTTCTTTTTTTGTGTGTGTGAGTTCATTCCCTTTAGAATGTATGTCCTAGAACAATCAAAAGTAATGCAAAAAGGTACAATTAAAAAGTCAGTGGATAAATTACAAA